GTGTGTGTGTGTGTGTGTGTGTGTGTGTGTGTGTGTGTACCTCACATGACTGGTGCACCACCATAGTTGATCTTGTCCAAAACATCTAGCAGAAGGCCTTGGATTAAACACCTGGATATTGTTATAAACAGAAGCATAGGGTCTGGGAATGCAGCCCAGTGGGAGAATGCTTGCCTAGCGTGCATGCAGCCCTGGGTTTTATCTCCAGCACACCAATTCCCTTCCCCCAACCCCAAAAAAAGCATAGGGGAGACACACACACACACACACACACACACACACACACACCAAACACACACACACACACACACACCCCAAACACACACACACACACACCAAAAAACTCCAGGTTGGCTAAAGAGTTAAATCTAAAAAATGTAAGCACTTTTTAATTTTTTTTACTGAAGGGAAATACAGTTGTATATTTAACTTTCCTCAGGATGAGAAAAGACTTTCTAAGCATAAAAACCATGAAAGAGAGCCAAAGAAAGGTCAGTGGAGTTGACTCTAGAAGCTTTTGAGCAATTCTATGTTAAGTCATATAAACAGTTAAAAGACAAATAGAAAGTAAGAAAAAAATTTGAAAAATGTGTAACAAACAGTAAATGACTTACTATCTATAGTTACAGATAATAAGAAAAATGTTAACACCCCATAGAACAGTGGACAAAGGATATGAGCAAAGAGTTCACAACAGAAGAAAGACAAACAAGAAAAAGATGTGGGAAAAAAAATGTTGACTTCTAGTCAAGGAACTATAAGTTTGAATGAGTTGTCATTTCTTCCAGTATTTTCCTGTCATTGTAGGTGGATAATGTGCAGTCAGAAGATAGGTACTGTCATATTTCCCTGATGGAATTAGGGAAATTGCTGTAGCCTTTCAAGAAAGCAATTTGGTAGTATAAATCAAGTGCCTTAGAGTTCATACTCTTGGGCCCACAAATGCCATTTTAAGAATATGTATATTTAGAAATGTTTTGCCTCAAGTCCACTTGCAGTAGCCTTTTCTTATTTTCTCTCTCTTTTCTTTTTAAATCTGGTATATCAAAATCTCCATCTCCAACAACATATTCTTTACTGATAATCCTTTGCACAATACCTGGCATATACAGGGGTTCAAAAATATTTATGAATTTAAAGAAGAAAGGGATATGTTCACACAAATGAACATCATGTAACTACATTTTTAAAATAGTGTATAATTAAAGTCATAGAAAAATGCTCCTAATTTGTTAAAATGTGGTGTATGTGATTGTATGTTTAAACTGTTCTCTGTGTTGTGTGAACTCTGGATGATAGGATTGAAGGTGATTTTTCTAGCCAGGAGTGGTGGCTCATACCTATAATCCTAACTACTTGGGAAACTGAGATCAGGATGATTGCATTTCCAGGCCAGCCCTAGAATAAAGTTCGAGAGACCCCATTTCTACCAGTAGCTGGGCATGGTGGCTTGCATCTGTCATCCTGAGCTAGGAGGAGGATCACTGTTCCAGACCAGTCTGGACAAAAAAATTTTTGAGACCTCACCTCAACGGAAAAAAACTGGGCATGGTTGTGCGCCCATCCCAGTGAAGGCAGGAAGCTTCTAAAGTAGGTGGGCCCAGGCAAAAGTAATACCCAATCTCCAAAATAAACAGAGTAAAAAGGGCTGGAGGTTTAGCTTAAGTGGTAGAGTGCCTGCCTTGCAAGTGCAAAGCCCTGAGTTTAAACCTTGGTACCACCAAAAATAAAATGTTTTCTTTATTTTCTTGACACTTTTCTTCAGTCATTTATCACATATTTCCTGGTGTGATAGGCACTGAGTATGCTTTTAAAGAGCAAAACCCCATAGGCCTTCCCCTCTGGCATTTGTAAGAGTAGGAAGGCAGGCATTGAACAATTACTAGTATATCATTTACATTGGTGAAGTTATGTTAGTTTTTATTCTAGAAAGAAAATATGATTATGGTAACTTTGAAGCAGTGATGGTTATAATTTCTAAGATGCACTTTTAGGATAAGAAAGGGGATTGCATAAAATATCTAAATCTTATACAATGTGAACTTCCCTTCCTAATAAAAAGGAAAATTCCTAGGTTTCTTGTCTCTTAGATAGTAATGATATAACAGTAAATACACCTAGATTTTTTTTTCCTCCATAACATTTTTCTAAAGGAAACTAAATAAGATGTATCTTGGTGAGGTGGAGATAAGAGTTGTGAGAAGTACCCAGCATTCCTACAGAAGTGTAATTAAACATTCCAATGAGCTAGCTGTGGTTGGAGAAAAAGTGAGAATGTTGGTCAGCGATAATAGAAAAATATGCACAATTTTTGCTTTTCCCTCTACTTGATGTGTTTCAAATGTGTAGAAAACCAAGAACATCTACAACAAAACACACTCTGTAGATTGATTGTGATCCAGAAAGTTTCTTTTAATTGCTATCAAATATGGGAATTTTTCTCTTAAGCAGTTTTTTTGGGGGGAGGGCTGGGAAGGGTTTATGTTGTTTTGAACAAAGTCCTGAGTATATTGAAAGGTTTAGAGACTTCACCATGGCTAATAAGTGTGAGTGTGCTCCTCTGAACCATCTAAGCCATGCTTCTACTGCTGTTTATCCACTTACCTACCAAGCCTTTGTATATAGCACATGAGCTCTCTGCACCTTTTTTCTGCTTCCTAAGTAGAAAAAGCTTCCGTGTGTCTTGGTTAAGTTAAAGGATGGCACTATGGTCTGTTGCCACTTTGGCCTCAAGAGAAGTATGCATTTGTAAGGTCTGTTGTGTTGGTAGGTTCCCTTCCCCTTTCCTGTTCATCTCAATCTGTAATTAGGAAGGTGATTCCTAAGCCAAGGATGTTGGAAAGAATAAATAGCAAGCAATAGTGTAATGACATCACCTCTCACAGTAAGTGTACCATGTGTCACTCTCCTTTATGGACTGATGCAAGCCGCTCCCTCCCAAGTGAAGGCTCACCCTTGTCTACTTTTTGGTGTGCTTTTTGGCAATGTTGGATGCAATGGTTTCAAAATGAACCTGAGGCTTTGTTTCATATGGAAAATTCAGATCTTAGGAACATCAAGTGGAGTGACTACTACTTTTTCCATCAGTGCTGATTTTTCCCTCTTGTGTTGGAAATTCTTTCACTTCTCAGGTGCACTCCTGCTTCACATTTCCAGGTGGAATTATAGGGCTCACCTCTTGTCTCCCATTCTCTTAGCACCTCCTCCTCCTCCAAAGTATTCTGGATGTTCTAGGAAGTCTTTGTCTCAGCATTGTCCACTTCTGGTGGTTAAAGTATTTCCTCTGTTCTTCATTTACCTCTTCCTTACTATTGTCTGTACTTAATTTACAAATTCAAGCACTTTGGACTCCCTGATTATATAGGGGATAGCAGAAATTCTTATGCTTCTAAGCTAAGTTAAACCTTGAGCTGGTAACTGCCTCTACAGCCTATACTAAGGAACATGGGGCCTTCCAACCTCATGGACAGTGTACTCCCTTCTCTCCTCCAGGAAGACATTCATCAACTCTGTATAGCATATTGTTTTCAGAGCATCAACTTTTGTGCTCTGAGATAAAGCTGAGCCACCCAAGGGCAGGATCACCTTCCCACTGCTCTCTGGTTGGCTGAGCAATCTGGGGTCAGTGTTTTGGTGCTTACTTACTCCTGGAAGACAAAAGGTGGTAGACACAATTAAAATCAGTCACTGAAACCAAAAGTTGTTTCAAAACATTACTTTTGTTTCTGCCTGTACAGGTTATGGTTATCCTTGACAAAGTCACTGCCAAGGGTTGGGACTTAGAACTGAAGACTGTTTATGCAAGTTCATTATTGTTTTGATTTTGATTTTTTCTGGGGAAGTAATTGTAAACAGTTAAGTTCTCAAAAGCTGTGGTAGTACACATAAACACAGTGTTGCACTGAAATAAATCCCTCAGTAAGTAACCCAAGTGTCACCCTGCAGCAGAAGTGAAGCAAATGAAGGGCCCATAGTTCTGCCTGTGATGGAGGTGAACAAATCAGGACGCTCAGGTCTGTTCTGGTGTCAACTCTTGATGTGGTCTCCATTGCTGTAAGCCAGGAACTATTTACTGCACCCCGTCAGCTGTGAGGGGAACAGCACCTGTTGATGCTTAGCAGGCTGTGCTCAAGCTCTCCAAGAGAAAGGGGCCATGTAAATAGAAGGCACTGAGCCCTCAATGTTCAGGTTGTGATCCATTCTCAAAGGCTCAAACAACCAGGATTTCTTTTCATTTGGCAACTCTGGTCAAGCCAGAGCTCCCTTCTTTGAGAAACTCTTGCCATTGTCTGTTCTAAACAAAGACAGGAATATATCTGTAAAACACTAAAGTAGCCATGGGAAGAGCTATGACTTATTTTAGCACAGGTACCAATTAATAAGTTGACCTAAATCATGAAAAGGTGAAGCAGAACCCAACCCATCATGTCTTGCTTAAGAGGCCATTTTCCTCACATGATGTTGAAACATAGAGAAGTCCATAACACAGAGCTAAGGAATTCTTACATAGGTGACTTCTGATTTCTTCCTAGGCCAGAATGTTTTTTTCTGCCTTTTCGATTATGTTGGTAATAATAATCCTAGCTCACTCTTACACAGAACTTGCTAGTGCCAGTCCACACGTTGTTTACCAGTTGAGGCTCACAGTAGCACTGAGTGGCAGTTGTTGTCATCACCCTCACTTCATGAGTGAACCAAGGTACAAGGAGGTGAAATAAGGCCAAACAGTTGCCAAGTGACAGAGCCCATGGATGAAGTCTTACCAGTTTGGTCGAGGAACAGCAGTTTTCATTTCTTTCACTGTTGTTGTGTTCCTTCTCCTCTTGATCACACAAGCAAAATATTTAGCACAACAATCCGGTAACTCGTCCCTGCAATCCCTGCATTCGCTGTACTTCTAGCATTTGGGAGGTTGTGGCAGGAGGATCATGGGTTCAAGGCTAGCCTGGCTACATAGTGACATGATCTTAAAATTCAGCATGGTGAATGCTGTTTTCTAGGAAGAGAATGGAGACTACACATACGTGGAAAGAGTGAAGATACCCTTGGATCATGGGACCTTGTTAATTATGGAAGGAGCCACACAAGCTGACTGGCAGGTGAGGATGTGTGAGAGATATGGTTCATCAATAGAAATTTACTTTTTCTGGAGGCAGCTTCTTGACTCTTTGAGGAGTGTTAATTTCCAAGTAAACATGGTAAAAGCCAAAAAAACAAATTGCTTTAAGAATGAGCAAGAGACAATAAATTGATGTCATTTCCGAGGAGTTTTGAGACTACTGGCAGCAGCAGCAGCAGTGTTGGGTAGAACTTTCTGGAATGATAGAGGTATGCTGTATCTGAGCTGCCCAATGTAGGAGCCACTAGCTACCCATGACCATTAACCACTTAAGTGTGACTGGTGTGCTAAAGAAGTGAATGTTTTAATTAATATAAATTTAAATAACTTCAGGTATCTAGTAGTTAACATGGTGAGCTGCACAACTCCACAGCTAGGGTAGGCCATTTTTAGGCCAGACCATTTTTGAGGTTTGCATATTATTGTGCTGTTGTGCAAACCCTTAGCATGAGAGTGGAATTGCCTGCCTCTTCAGTTTCATCCAGTTACATTTTTCCTAGGGGATTTGGAAAAGTGGCAGGAATCTGAGAGGAAGAGTAGCAATCAGAAAAGATGAAGGTGCCTCGCTGCCAGGGGCTGGGGGGCTCACTGGATATTTCAGAGAGGAGAATGTTTTCCACAATACTTTAGAGAGCTTAGTTCTGCTCATTTAGACAGGGATAAATGGAAATATTTTCATATCTTCATAAATAAGTTGTAAATCACTTTATGCTAAAAATATATGTGTGTTTATGTCAGTTATTTATATTTTCATTTAGCATCGAGTGCCCAAGGAATACCACTCCAGAGAACCAAGAGTAAACCTGACCTTTCGGACCGTTTATCCAGACCCTAGAGGGGCACCCTGGTGATGAGAGATCTTTGCAGAGAAGCCTTAGTGAGTGCTGCATGCTGAATCACACCAACCAAACCCTCCACACTTCAAGGAGCTGCTCCAGCTGCTCTCCGAATTGGCTGTTTGGAGGATGGTGGCATTTGTTTCTCAGCTCCGAGTCCTATTAAAAGAGAACCACCAGCAGTTAACACTGGTAATATGTCTGCTGTGGGAACAGTTATTGAGAAGCACATCTAAAATCGAGCACTATCTTCGGGCAAATTAAAAACTACTATGGCTGTGCTCACAGATGATTTGGTCCATAAACTAGTTTTCTCCTACCCTCCCCCTTTTAATTTGAAGAAATACAAATGGCCTTGTGCCTCTGGGGAAAATCTACACGTGTTTGTTCTTTATGACGTTAGCAAAGTGGAGACATAAATATGCGTCAGTGACTCTGGAGCCTTCCTCAAGCAGACAGCTGCTGAAACCCAAACAGACGTGGCTTCACGGGGCTTTGTTGAAGCTTGTCTTGACTCCTTACCATCCTGGCTCCTGTATTATTGTAACGGAAAGCTGCATATTCAGGAGACACTGTGTTTAGCTGAGTCTCCCAGCCTGGCTATTCCCAGGACACACTCAGGCCTCCAAAAGAGGGAAGGCAGTGTGCTCTAGTGCACGCTCATAATGTCCCCTCAAAGGGAGGAATCACTGGAGAAGTAGCAGGCTGCAGCATTGGCTGAAGAGCGGCAAATGCCCCGTTAGTGACAGCTGTTCCACATAGATTAGTTTCCCCTGGAGAATTACTTGAGTCATTTAACCCCAAGCCAGATAGAAGCAGGAGCAATCCTGCAGGGAATAGACTTGATGACCTCATGCTTCTCCTCACCTGAGATTTTAGTAGCCCCATGACTAAGGCTGTCTTCTGACTCATTGTTCCCTTATACAAGAGTTCCTAGGGTTCAAGGGTCTGTGATGTCACCAAGGTTCCCAAAACAGAACAGAGTGACTGCCCCTTGTTGCATCATAAAAGCACATGTTTCTGTGACCTCTTGACTCAGGAGCAGTGTGCCAGATTAAACTCCAAACTAAAATAAAGAAAAACCGAGAGAAAGACAGTGAATTTAAGTGAAAGAAAGTAGCACATAAGAGTTTGAGTTTCTCTCTGTGCCCGTGGGGAAAATTTACAGTGCCTTCTTGGTTTTTAACCTGTTTCCATTCCATGCTATAAGAGTGATGAGCCCCATGATCATAGGAAAGTGCCAAAAGCTGTGCAGGCTCCTGCCAGTGCTCAACCTGGCCAGGCTTTGTCTTCCAAGGCTCTCTGGCACCTTGCATTGGAGCTTCAAAAAAAAAAAAAAAATGGCTAGAACCCTTCTGTAAGAAATGCTAAATGCTGTGTACAATTTGAGTATCAGACTAAGCCTTCCTGGAAAAAAGGTATGAATCACCATAAACCCTCTATTTAATTCCTAGTTGTCCTCCTATTAAAACCAACAAAACCTGGCCAGGGTAGACGGCCAGCTTTGGTGATGAGTTTGATGCATGACACCGAGAAGTTCCTCCTCCCTTGCTTGCAGATGAAAGGATTGGCAGATGGCTCCAAGTCCTCCTGTAACCCCCCTCTCTCTACTGTAGGGTCACAGTCTCTCCTTGCATTAGCTGTGCATTTGGTCTTTCACCACACCCCTGTCTGTGAGGAAAACAAATTTCTTCTCTCCATCACCTGGGTTTCTTGGTCAGAGCTGTAAATCGTAGTTTTTATTTCTCACTGTTACCATATGTCATGACTGCCATTTATTTCAATCACTGAGATAATGTCCTTTCTGAAATGTTAACTAGGTATTTGCCATAGAATGAAACTGCAGAATCTAGGCATGGACAGGAATTCCAGACCATGGCCAAAGACAGCCATGCTCATTGACTGCACCAACCTGTTGTTGTGTTTTCCTGGTCATAGAGCTTATCTAGGGACTGGGGTGAAGCTCTTTTTACTAACATTACATGTAAAGCAGAGGAAGCAAATGTAACAGCTGTAGCATGAAGAAAAACAGGTTTCGTTTTGTTGTTTAGCTGCCCATTTTTTGTGAGTTTCAGCAGACTGCAGACAGTGTCCTAGGAACTTTTATACACAATCTGTAGTTCTCCTACAGTGCTGCAAAAAAAAGAGATACCCTTCCCACCCTTCCAAGAGGTTAAGTGGTTTAATAGGACTTTTAGTGACAGAGCCAGATTTCAAACTCTGGGCTAATCCCTGAGTTTGTGTGCTTTTTGCTCTGCCTTGCTGAGTTGAGGTGGAGTCCTCTGCAGAGCATCCCTGGTAGCCTGAGCCGCAGGCCTTATCACCTGTTGGTCCCCTGCTTTCTTGTGAATCAGGGCAGGTGTCTGCATCTCATTTCTCCCTAACATGAGCAGAAACTGTCCTGCCAACTGGACTAGCCACTGGACTGGGGGGGCTCATTTTGGGGAGACACATTCTCAGCCAGACTTCCCAGTAAGTGTTTCCTGACCCTGTCCAAGCAGATACACCTTAAGACTTTCACAGATAGGTGAATTTTCCTCCTATGGTCTCTTTATCCTTCATTCTTTCTGTGAGCACATTTGGGAACTCTGATGCCCAAACTAAGGGATGAGACTTCTTCCTAATACTTTCCAACACTGCTACTGTAGACAGCAGACAGGTCAGGCTCTACACTAGAAATGTCAACAGCAGCTTGCCTCAAAGCACAAGTCAGCACTTAGCATCAGGTTATAACCCCAGTACTGAAAGCAGGTTCTATTTGACCCCCGTAGAGTAGACCACTATTAGCTGATGGTTCCTAAGAGTTGGGTCACAGCTAATGAACCTGCCCTGTCTTTGGGGCTTCCACTCCCTGTAGCCTCCTTGGCTCCATGACCCTCCTAGTTGGGGGCAGTGCAGCAGTCCCTGTGGTGTCATGCAACCTGGAAAGAGTTAAGAATGTCTTGCAGTGAACAGAATGCCCCCTTTGGAGGGTTTGGGAGAATATCCTGACAAATAATGGGTTCTTGCCTTGCTGGGAATATTTCTTCCTTGAGTTCTGGCAGCTTTTTCTTGGCTGCAGAATATCTAAGACCCACTTTGCCTTTTCTGGTCATAAACACTTGTAGTGTTGAATCTGAAGTCTTGATTACTTTATTTTTCTTAACGGTGCCTTTGAAAAAGTCAGTGTTTCCATAGTGATGCATTGTTTGTTTAAATCTTTACTTATACATGATTCCACCCACACCCTCCCCTCCCAGGAATTAGTTTACAACTGCTCTTTCCCCCGCCTCCCATTTTCTGTTTGGAAGAAACCCCCCATGAGACCCCTGTCAAATTTGTACTGCTGGAATCCATTCTTAGGTATGATTCCTGTGCCTGGGGTTGGTAGGCAAATGACTTTGATGTTTATTTATTAGAGTGGAGCACAGGCTAATGGTGCCTTTTCCAGTTAGTTTGGTAGTCATGCTCCTCCTGTTATAAAAGTCTTCCCCAGCCTGTGACCAGAGCCCCATGCTGGGCTGGGCTATTTGTTAAAACTGGGGGCAGGGCAGTGTTCTCTTACAGCCCCGGAAACGGTAAATCCGGCAGCCCCTTCATAGCCAGCACCACTGAAGAGTTTTCTCCACTTGGAGCTGGCAGGGGTGTGTTATGTGTGACATCGTTGTGAGGATGATTCTGTGCTATCACTCCCCCTCATGGGAACGGTGATGTCATACTCAACGCACGGACACTCCCTATTCTCATGTGGCCTTCAGGAGTATAATGTGTCACTGCTTAGGCAGGGCCCTTGAGGGGACCCCATGGCCTGGGCTCTGGGGGCAAATCCTGATGCCTGAAAGTGGGTAGAGGAGGGAGCTCAGAAAGTAGCTACGCTGCTGGGTGTACTGCATCGTCAGCCGAGTTACTCCTAAAAGCAGCTCCATGAATTGTTTATTTTTTGTAAACGCAGGAGGAAAAGTGAGGTGCCTAGATTTTTTGGATGCTGGGCTCCAGTGTCCAATTGGGGGTGGGGGAAGGGAGGAACGGAAGCGCCCTGGGCTGGAACACTGCGCTTTCTCGGCCTCTTCGGGAGCAGCCGCAGATGTGCGCGGGGCGGAAGCGGGAGGAAGTGGGCTGCGCGGGCGCCGGAGGGCTGGAGGGCTGCGTTATCCCGGTGCAATTAGCCGCCTACCCCAGGAAGGGCGTGGGCGCGCGTGACGATCTTGCCTCCACCGCCCTCTAGGATCCCGGCCCGTGTTCACAAACCCGTGACGACCTGCCACATGGGCCCCCTAGCCCCGGGAGGTGGGGGCTGCAAGAGGACAACCCTAAGCCTTGGTGTCCCAGAAGGCGATCTGGGCGCTCTGATGATCTAGGCTGAGCCGCCTTCCTGGGGTCTCCATCGGGTCCTCAGCCTCTGCCACCAGCTGTATAACTTTGGAATCGAATGGCCGATTCACCCTTGCAGGGGGCCATGCCCCCTCTTTGCCTGCAAGGACAGAACTCCCAGCCTCCACATAAGTCAGAAGAGAACCCCTGCAAAGCCCTTGTGCCTGAGCTTGACTGACCAGGCTGGCTTCTTAGCTCTGCTCTTCCCGAGTCATCTCCGACCAGTCAATTTTAAAGCCTCAGTTTCCTCAACCGTGAAGTGGACACAGAAGCAGCCTTCTCTCCCTGGTCTTGAAAATTTGACGTCATGCATGTCATGAACCCGACAGTAATGTGCTTAGTAATACAATTCTTTTAAGTGCAGCATTTCACGTGCCCTGCTAAGCCCCAACCTTAACCCCTGTGCTAATGGATGGCTCTGGGAGGCTGTCCTCCCCTCTTAGGCTCCCCTGGTGCCCAAGCCTATGATGCAGTCAAAGGTTGGGGGTGAAGAGCAGAAGCTTTCCAGAGGATGGGCAGAAGTTAAAAACTGCAGGAGTTGGGCCGATCATATTAAGATGGGCCTGCACTTAAGCCCTCCTGGGAAGTTCTTAGATCAAGCTGAAGCGAGCTCCCAGATGCCAAAGTGGCTTCGCCCTGATGTTCAGCTTACTCTTGGCAGCCCAGCCACATGCTCCCCAGGTAATTGGTCTCCTAATTCACAGTCCCTGGCAGGAGTCCAGAAGTCCACTGCCTCCTCCCCTTGAGGTCAGTTCTTGATGTCTCCCAACCCCGCAAGCAGGTCACCCACAACCAGACACAGGTCCACCCCCACCAGTCACATTGTTTGCTTGTGCTGGCTGGCCATTTCTAAACCCTGTACAGAACGCCTTGGCCTAGAAGATTAAACAAGATTGCCAGGCTGGAGTTCTGTTCAAGACCAGGGCTTTTATGTCCAGAGATTGTGTAACAGATGTGGTGGGAGACAGATAAAAGGAAGACACAGTCCCTTCCCTTACAGATGGGAGTAAACCAACGTGGCCTTTATTTTCTTTTGCAAAACTAGTTTTTTCTTCTTCCTACAAAACGGAGTATATATTTTTTCAAGAAATTAAAAAGAAATCATTTTGTAATTTTATAAGCCAGAGATGACAAGTTTTCACAATTTGTAGTACATATTTTCTACACATTTTTGAACTTAAAAGTTAGCCAGGCACCACTGGCTTACATCTATAATCCTTGCTATTCAGGAAGCAGAGATCAGGAAGATCGCAGTTCAAAGCCAGCCTGGGCAAATAGTTTGAGAGACCCTATGTCAAAATACCCAACACAAGAAGGGGCTGGTGGAGTGGCTCAAGTGGTAGAACAGCTGCCTAGCAAGCATGAAACCCTGAATTTTAACCCCATTTCCACCAAAAGACTAAAGTTACATCACTATAAATTAAAGTTTATAGTCTTATAGCCTGTTTCTACTTATGTTCATTGGTGCAGGACATTATTATTTTAAACATTGCTGAATGGCTGCATAGTGTTTTGTATACTTGTACTGTTTCATTGTGTTGGATATTTAGGTTGTTGTAGATACTGGGGTTCTGCTATTATGACTGTTCTGACTGGAAAATGATGAGAATTAAAGGTGGAAGGCAGGGTATTGGTGAAGCTGAAAGACCAGTATTTGGCTTCATTCGGGCCTCAATGCAAACAATAAAAAGAACAGGTAGCACTTTCATGGAGGCTGAGTATGTGCTAGGCACAGTGTGAAGTGCTTTACGTATATTTAGCACCTGGTTTACTAATCCTCACAGCAGCCCATGGACAAGGCACTATTTTTATCCCTGCTTTACAATGGAGGAAACCAAGTCACAGCTCCTCTGCTTATCAGTGGCATGGCTGTGTTCAGCTGTTCTGTAGCTAGATCTTAGAGCACATCTGTGACTGCTTCTCAGAATAAATTCCTAAAAGTGGGGTCACTGGCCCAGATCCCAAGGGCTATGCATATTTTAAAGACTTTGAATACATAATGCAAA